ATAATAAACTCCCTCAGACTGTACATTTATTATACATCATTGTTAAGAGCCACTGTACCAATGCAGGCGAAGCGAGATCTTTCTCGGGTGGGTTGCAAAATTTCCCGACATGGCCTCACGTCTGGGAGGTTGGACACTCTCCCTCGGCTCCGGCCGCCTTCTCTCCGACTCCCCAGTTCTAGTTATTAAAAAGGTAATACGAAGCATTGCAAAGTGGGTATTTGTTCAATCTTCTCTGGGGGCTACAAACTCACTCTGTTGTGATAGGGTTGCCAGATCCCAGGGCCTGGCCTTGAGTCTCCAGTTTTCATAGCCTGGAGACAAGGGTGCAATTTCTCCAGTTGATCGGATCAGCTCCAGCTAAGAGAAAAGAGCTGTATAGAAATCCCCAGCTGTGCTATTAGAGCAGCAACGTGCTACCATTTCTAAGGCTTCGTTGATTTATTGGTGCAGCTTGCAACGAATCTCTAGGGAGGTCTATGTATTTTCCTAGCTGGCTTCCTGCTTTCCTCTCAGTCCTTGTGGCACCAGGTCTCACCTCCCACTCTCCTCTGCTTCTGCCTCAAAGCCAGCAGGCTAGGTCAAATCTTCCTTCTCCCATCCAGAATAATCACCTTGATCTGGGAAGTTCCCTTTGCTGCAAAGATTTCTCTCTTAATTTCCAAACAGGAAAATAGGTTATCTCTGCATACATGCTTTTAAATGGCAGACTGTGAGAAAATGGGGTTGTTACACTAGCAGTCAAGTGTCCGGTTCTCGTGGTGGCATTCTTGGGAATTTGGATCCCGACAAGTAAATCAATCCTAAAATCTTAGAGCTAAGATGCCCTCCTGTGGATGCCCTTCTGGTGACAAGTAACCTGATGTTTGCAGGCCATATGTGACAACAAACTTTGTCTCGGCAACTCATGAGCCTTTGGTGGCATCTAAAGAGACTTTAGGAGAAGCATCAAATCTCTGTGGCATCTAAAGAGACTTTAGGAGAAGCATCAAATCTCTTTGGCATCTAAAGAGACTTTATGAGAGGAACAAACCATTGTGGCATCTAAAGGTAGCATCCAAAGAGACTTTAGAAAAGGTATCAAATCTCTGTGGCATCTAAAGGTGGCATCTAAAGAGATGAGAGGTACAAAATCTCTGTGCCATCGGCTGAGTAAAATGAACTCCCCAGCCTTAACAGTTGCACATTGGAGCTATGAAGAATATTCTTTTAATGGCTCACCCACATATGTCCATCAAACTTCTTTTTTCCCCCTTTATGCCTCTAGGTTTGTTGGGTTTTTTAAAAAATAAAATAAAGCAAACACAGGAAATTAAGCCGCTTGCACACCCATAAATGTGAAAGCATTAGAGGACTAGCTTTCACTCCAGAAACCTGAGCATCAAGTGCTGAAACTTCACCATTAACTTGATACAGTAGGCCAAGCCGGCTTGGTTTTGTGCCGTGCCGCTGGTTTAATCACTTGGAGCTGTGGGTGATCTCCCCTGCGCTACCGGCTGGCTGTGTTAAAGGACAAGTCGCTGGATTTGGTGGGCTTTTGCAAGCTTACAAGAACCCTTGAAGTTGCTTTTGAAAAAGCCTTGGGCCGCCTAATGTGTTTGACACCTGTCTCTTAAGGCTGCGCACATCTGGAGGCAGTTAGGGTCCCCATTTGCAGTTGGTTGATGCTGGATCCCTTCCCAATCCTTTCTCGCTGCTTTCAGCCACAGAATAAAAGAAAGAAAGAAACCCAAACTCCACGAGTCGAGTTTAGAAAGGGAATCTTGAGTCCTTGCCCAAATCACTTTGTATTTTATTTAAATATTAAATTACAGTCTGCTTAAGCACTGTGGAGTTGAAACTCCAGGCGGTCAAATTTATCTACAGATGGAGCCTTGGTTTTCTTCAAAGGCCATGTAAGTCCTTGGAAAGGTTCCCATTTGCTCTGAAAATAACAGCGCCCAGTAGCTTTGACATTAATTAGTAAAAAAGCAGGCTCCCTGTTAAAGAAATCAAATCAATAAAATCAGAGGTATTTTTGTTCCAAGGGAAATGTATGACCCTGGTTCTTTCATTGCTTGAACCTTTTGCAGTTTTAATTTTATGATTGTTTAGAATATTGGGAAGATTAGTCAAGTAAATGTGGGGAGGGGGGTTCATATTCCTTCAATTTTCCTGCCTCCATAATTTATGAATTCCATTCATAAGTTAGCAATAGGAGGGAAAATTAAGAAGGAAATGATGACAATAATGATGATGATACAATTATAAGATGATAATAATATAATAAAATGTAAGTACAGGTTGAATCTCCCTTATCTGGAGTTCCGAAATCCAAAATACTCCAAAAATTGAAACTTCTTTCATGGGTGACTGAGATAGTGACACCTTTGCTTTCTGATGGTTCAATGTACATAAAACCAATGTACATGGTTCAATGTACATAAAATGCTTTCTGATGGTTCAATGTACATAAAAGGTTCGCTTTAGGGTCATAAAAAGAACAAGGCACCGCAAAATGTAGGACAGTCCAGAAAATTGTATGACATTACCAAATAAAAGCTACAAACAGTGATATAAATGCAAAGGCATGCTTCTTCGTCATGCTTAAAATGGAGGACATTTTGAAATTCCTCCTGGACAGAAGGTTGAAATGTAGGACATGTCCTGGAAAAGGAGGATGTCTGGTCATCCTTGGTGGCAGAGATCAATTTGAAAGAAGGGTATCTGAGTGAAAGGGTTTGAGGAGGTGAGTTTTTTGAGAAGGAATATGAGGAAGGTGGAAAGAAGGGGAAGAGAAGTAGAGGAGGAGAATAAGTAGAGGAGGGAAAGAAGGGAAGGAGTGAATAGAAAAAGGATGTAGAAGAGGAGGAGAGTAAGTAGAGGGGAGAAGGAGTAAGTAGATGAAAGGAATGGGAGAACTAATAAGAAATGAAGAAAGTGAAAGGAGGTTTATGAGAAAGATATGAGGTGAGGAATGGATATAGTGTGGTGGGAAAGATAGAAGAGATGGGAAAGAGTACTTAATATAGGATATATATATATATATATATATATATATATATATATATATAGGTGCAAGTGACAAAAAATCATTAACAAAGATAGAATAAAGTATAATTGATGTTGGTGATGATATGATGGTAAGATGATGTTATTGTGAATGATATGTTTATATAATGTTTTTAATTATATGTATGTCTGTGTATTGTTGAAATGACTAAAGATTGGAAGGAACGAAGGAAGGTCTTTCTTGGGAATCTCACAGCCCAGGCAGGCTCTCACGGGGAGATAAGATCTGTAAGATATCCTGGACCTAAAGCTTTATAGCAGTGGTTCCCAAACTTTGAAGTCCAGATGTTTTGGACTTCAGCACCCAGAAGCCCTGACTAGCTTGGTCAATAATGAAGAATTCTGGGAGCTGACGTCCAAAACATCTGGAAGACTAAAGTTTGGGGATCACTGCTTTATAGATCACAACCAGCACTTTGAATCAAGCTGGTGTTACACTGACAGACACCCCTAATGGGATGCCAGCTAATAATTGTGCTCATGTTAGGAAACAGCTCCCTTTCATTGGTCATGGTGTATTTGTGGACGGTTTTCCAGTCTGTGCGCTTTTATCAGGCTGCTGTTGTTGTTGCATCACCAGCTCGGAAATGTACAAGTTTCACATTGCAGAATGCATTCCAATCTGTGTTTGGTTTGTGCAAACTGGATACATTCTGGTGGGGAACAAAAATGAATGGAAAAGTATTTCTCACCCATCCCTAATTTTGTTGCAAGAAGATCGCAGTGAGCTTTTGTTGTGGGGTAACACAAGCCAGGATGCCCAGACGCCTGCCCTTGGCACATGTGGGCTGATGTCTTGGCCTCTCCAGGCAGGAATAAGTTGCATGCTGTCTTGACCACACTGATGACTCTGTCTTTCCCATCCTTTCGCACTGGGTTGTGGGCATAATTCACTTTGAAACAAAACAAAATATTTTGCACCATGAATGGAGCTAAAATGTCCAACTTGTCTTGCATGCATTAGCTCCATGTGTTGATTTTTAAAAATATTTTATTGTATTTGCATTGCATTGCATTGCATTGCATTGCATTGGCTAGCCTAAGCCTACCCACATTCTCACAACAACCCTGTCAGGTTGAGTCAGGTTGTAGGTTAAGCAGAAATATAGCAATGGACATAAAGTTCCCCTTAATCAAGTTTGGGGCTGAGTGACATAGGGACCTTGGGGTCTTTTTTATGGTCACCACACCCTTCTATTGTGCTTGGGCTTGTTGTGTGTCTGCAAATAGTTTCTGGCTTTCATCAACTATAAAGCAGGCCTCTCAGGGTATTTTCTTGGCATGATTTGTTCAGAGGGGTTTGCCATTGACTGAGAGAGTGTGACTTTCCCAAAGTCATCCAGTGAATTTCTGGGTGTGTATGTGTGTTGTGTGCCATCAAGTCTTAGCTCCCAGAATTCCTGACTGTCCACCAAGCTGGCTGGGGCTTCTGGGAGCTGAAGTTCAAAACTCTTGGAGGACCACCAAGAGTTTGGAAATCCCTGCCGAACCTTTTGTTATTTCCAACCTCCATCACCATCTGAGAAATCTAGAAGTCCAGCATTTCTAAATATAGCCAGTTTTCCACATTTTAGGGCTGGATTATTCAACTACTATTAACAGAACTGGCATTTTGCAAAGCCAAGCTACTTTGTAAAACAGATTGGCTGTGAAGATCCATTGAGCAGCAACCAACAGCATGGCTGTGTGTTTATTTGGCAGGAAAGGATCCTCTCCCTCTCAGCAAATGAGGCTGAGTGACTTTGAAAGTTGATATTTTCTTTTGTAAGGCTGGCAATAAGAAGTGACTGTAGGATCCTGATTTTTATCTCTCCCAGATGTTCTGGGGCTGAAACAGACCAAAGGAGCATTGAGGTGAGAGCAAGCAGAACATGTTTTATGGTACAATCCTGAGCCTTACTCAGAAATCATCCCCATTGAATGCTTTGGGTGCTACTACCAGGCTTGAGAGCAGTGTGGTGTAATGGTTTGAGAGTTCAGCTACAACTCTGGAGACCAGGGTTCGATTCCCTGCTTGGCCATGGAAACCTACTGGGTGAACTGGTCGAGTCACACATGCTCAGCCCCAGAACTCCTACTGATAAGTTTGGTTCACCTTAGGGTTGCCATAAGTCAGAAACGACTTGGAGGCACACAATGACAACAACAACAACCAGGCTAAACTAGACAATGTCATTTTGTTGGACCACAAATCCTGCATCCACTGGTTCACAAGGGTGCTCCAGATGGTCCATGGAGCATTGAATTGGTTAACCAATGAGGTCCTGTGCTGCAGGAGAGAGTGTGGTGGTGGTGGTGGTGGTGGTGATGGAGATGGAGATGGAGATGGAGAAGAAGGGATGATGATGGAGGTGATGGAGATGGAGAGGAGAAATTGTTGCTGATGATGGAGAAGATGGATTTTGCATGGTGTGGCTAAGGCAGTTAAGTAGCATTGAAGTGCTGCAGTTGTGTAGTGTCAGAGAGAATTAGCAACTCAGTATCTGGAAAAGGTGCTCCTACGAATTCTCACTTCTGCAAACATGTGCCCAGATTGCCAGTCTTGGCTGAATTTGCATTGAACATTGTAGCTTTGTGTGACCCTCATGCCTCTTATTGAATGGCATAGCTCCTGCTGTGAAATCAGACTTCAAAATGCTGAAATTTTTAATGTTTGGAGCACAGGCTTTACAGCAATAAAAACTCACTAAGAACATATCGATATTGAAATGTGCTTTCCAAGCCGTAGGGACTCCTGTGCACATAGGAGACCAAAACGTGTTGGGTTTCATACTTCTTGTACAACACCAGCGACCTGACATTTAATTTTTGCCTGACTTCAAAAGAGTATTCAAAAGCTGGAGGCACCAGCATGCCAAAATAAATGGTTTACAACTGAGGCCTCCAAATGTCACTGTTTTAGCTCACATGCCTATAATTTGAAACCTCTTGCTCTTTTGGTTGAATGCCCAGCTAAATGCATGAAACGACAACAAGACAAGCAAAACCCTCTCCTGCATTCCTCAGTAGCAAAATAATTCTGGAGAGTTTCTTTCTGACATAATATTAGGACACAGATGTAAAAGTATTGAAACTTTCCATGAATTTTGCAGGTGGGAAGGAAAACACTTTTGTGCTGCACTGAGCTTCCATAACTAATGAATTCCTTGCATGCCAAAATTATCTGGATTCCGGCAAACAAACAGTTTGTTATTGGTGCCTACAGAAGCTTCTTTGACCAAAGTGTAAAATAGGAGCCCATCATGTTCCCAGTCTACGGACCACTCCTGCAAATTTACAAACCTAGGTTGTAGTCCTACATTGTGCTAAATCTACACTCACATAATTTCGTGATGGTTGCACTACAACACCTTCTGCTGAATACCATCATTGTGCAGCTGGTTGTGTATCTGCCAGTGTCCTTGCTTACTGTCCCATTGCACTATGGGGAATCCATAGAGGTTCTTTCACCAGATCCATTGAATAATTTGGTGCCTGGGAGGCATTGACTATTAGGGTTGCCAGATCTCAGGACCTTCAGTTTTTGTGGGTTATTTCCAGATGAGAGGTAAGGATCCAAATTCTCCTGTTTTGGTGGAGTGAGTGATGTTGTGGCACTCTGCCCTTGCTTGTTCCCTGGTAGACAAAATGTACAAGTTGCTTTAGCATGGGACTTGAAGAAGCTGATTTAAACTTTAAAACTGGGCTTGTAGTGCTAAGCATTTGCTTCCCTTAGAAGGCTCAAAGGATGACAAGGAGACAAATAAAGAATTAGCTGTCATGCTTCCAATACCTGGGCACTTTTGAGCTTACATTCCAGAGTATGTAGCCAGGGAAATTTTGAGAGCCAAGGAGTTGTGCTTATCAGAAATGCCTACAAAAGTACCATGTTTGACTATATACTGAGAAAAATGATACAGGCATACCTTAGTTAACAAAGTCTCGAACATTGATGCTCCTTTTCACAAAGTCTTTGTACCCTCATGCAGCTCCTCTTTTTCTCTCTTGTCCTCTGAGGTTTTCTAGCAGCATCAGCATTGGGAGGATGGTAAAGGAGGGCTGGAGAAACACAGGCTTTCAGTTCTGGGTTGCAGCAGCATGCCTGCAGTAAACAATGCAATAAAGTTTGCCCTGAGAAAGAATGGGATTCCCACTGTAGCCATGTGTGCCTACCTGCAACAGGCAAAGCAAACAGCAGCTGCCACCATAATCTCTTGCTATGCATGCATGAGCAATAAAATAAAGAGAAAAGAGAACAACAGATAAGTCTGTCTCACCAGCTGTCCCCAGTAACTAAACCTGGAGCATGCCCTTTGTGGGTTGCAGGGGACCTTACTTCAAGTCATAGTCAATCATAGAATCATAGAATCACAGAGTTGGAAGAGACCAACTAGTTGAGTCACTTGACAGTTTTATTTCATCAGTTGATTCCTCCTCCCCTTGGCACTCTTTTCCAGATGATTCTCTCTTCTCCATGGGCAGCAAGACCACAGGGAGGTCCTGTGAATACAATGGCACTACCTACCACCATGGGGAGATGTTTGTGGCAGAGGGACTCTTCCAAAACAGACAACCCAACCAATGTGCCCAGTGCAGCTGTTCTGTAAGTAATGCAGCTACGCTAAATTCTGATTGGGGCTGACTCTGTCATTAGGTGGAGCAATGTGCAGAAATTCATTTGCCCTTGAGGAGCAGTTGAGAGGATTTTGAGGACAGAGCTTTCTGTGTACCATGCCACCATCTAAAAGGTAAAGGTAGTCCCTTGACATGAATG